TCTCTCTCATCTCTCTCATCTCTCTCATCTCTCTCATCTCTCTCATCTCTCTCATCTCTCTCATCTCTCTCATCTCTCTCATCTCTCTCATCTCTCTCTCCTCTCTCTCTCTCTCTCCTCTTTCCGTCTCTCTTCTCTCTCTTCTCTCGCAGGAGGATCCGGGCAAAGAGCCACATATCACGAAAGCTAGCGAAGCTAGCTGGAGTTACTCTTGCAATAGCAAGGTTTCTTTCGACCGGGTGCAAATCCTAACCCCTGATTTTTCAGGTCTCCCCACCTCCCCTCTCCCCACCTCCCCTCTCCTCCTCCTTGTCTTCCTCCCATCTTCCCTCCCTCCCTCCCTCCTCCCTCTTCGCAAGTTCGACTCCGTCCTGTCGTCGCTCTTTGGCATGCGGTTAGCGTTGCGTATCTTGCGGCCGCACTCGCTCACTCTCACTCTCACTCTCTCACTGTCTCACTGTCTCTCTCATCTCTCTCATCTCTCTCATCTCTTTCTCATCTCTCATCTCTCTCTCCTCTCTCTCTCTCTCTCCTCTCTGTCTCTCGTCTTTCCGTCTCTCTTCTCTCTCTTCTCTCGCAGGAGGATCCGGGCAAAGAGCCACATATAAAGGACTCTTCACCCCTGCCTCCAAAAAGAGCGCCGTGTTTTTTCCTACCTCGCTGCCCTCCACTTTCCCATTCTGGAGCGCTAGCTTTCGCCCCCCCCTTGGCCTCAAGTTTCTTTACTGACTTCAAAAGGCAGAAAGAACTATCGGAACGCCTATTCAAGCAAGTCGATGCTACACCTCGCTGTGCGAGTTCTTGGTGCTTCACCTCGCTGTCGCCTCAGTTGGACCAAGCTGCGCTGGGCCGAAGATATACCGCGAAACCGTTGGGTCATCAGCTTCGTTCAACAGGTGGGTTTGGGTGGGCGCACCGGGGATGGTGTGGCGTAAGGGAATCGCGGGAGAGTCGATGCAAGGGATAGGGGGTGCTCGGATGCACGTTTCATGTATGACTCAAGAAGATAGGTAATGAAGAGTGGTGAAACAGAGTGCCATGGAATCAAGGTGTTTTGCCCAATTCTTAAGCTTTTGTTTTGTAGACTCCTCAGAAACCCGGAGATGGATGAGCTTTGGGAAACCGACGTTTTGTGCTCCCAGCAATGCCAACCCGTGCCGAAAGGCTGTTGACATGGCCGAGATGTACCAGCTCCCGATGGGTACAGGCGGAAAGATGCCACCTGGTACGTTTGAAGAAAACCCGTCTTTGCAAGGATCTTTGAATCTCCAAGACACCAGTCAGTCTCGAAATGCTGCCGTGGGTATTTGTTGCTGGGCTGTTTACCATAAGTGACGGCCCGCGTGTTCGACCTTGTTCAGGCGGCTGGGTTCAGATACGAGCTCTCTTTTGGCGGTTTCCACAGCTGCATGAGGAGGGGGCTTGCGTGTTGTTGGTACATGTTTCTAGAGTCTTAGAGAGTCACCGAGGCTTTTTCTTTTTTTGTTACTACTAGTAACAGGTGCCACGCTAGTAGTAACAGGTGCCTTACTAGTAGTAACAAAAAGCTATTAGAATTAAAATTAAAGTAAATTAGCTTCTTGTTACTACTAGTAAGGCACTTGTTACTACTAGCGTGTTCATTTTTTGACTCTCACCACAGGCATGTTTTGGAACGGCACATTTCCTTGCACGCCTGGTGGTCAAAGATCAGACAAGGCGCTGGACGCTTTGTTGAAGCAGTCAAAATCTAGCCAGAACACACTTGATTCATCTTGATTCCCTGTCTTATTATTGTCCAAAGATGCACACTGAGCCGAATAGGCATAGGTCTCACGGATATTTCTCAGTGCACTACTCTGCTCAAAATCATGTCAACATCTTCTTGGCGTCAGGGCACTGGATGCAAAAGTCGTCTCTGGTCGCGTGGCTGTGCGGTACCCTCGCCTGGTGCGTGAAGCCGGCCGTGTCGATGATAATGTCCAATGTGAAAGGACAGTCCATGCCTTCATCCCATCAAGCCAGGTCAATGGCGCAGACGCATGAATAGTTTGTGTGACGGATTATGCGCTCAGCCTGAGGCGTATCAACGCTCTGGAGCGTCTACAAGGATTTGTCGAGGCACGAGAAGCACTGAATGTGGGGAACGCTGGGAACGCATGTGATCGTTGACATTGTTGTTGCGAGTGCCGCCCCCTTCTCCCTTGGATTTTCAGCCATTTGTTGGAGATGCGCTTGCCTTCCATGTTCTTTCAAGGACATCAATAAAAACCTAAAAAGCCTTTTGCATACACATTATGGCCCATTGATTGTGAGGCAAGTAAAGAATATGACTGGTCTCCTCCGATCGTGTGAGGGTGTAAGAGATGTCAGCAAACCAACTGAGCGCTCGGGATTTGATTTTTAAACCTCCTTTGTGACAGTATTGTGAGGATGCCCTCCTTCGCCCTCTCGTACTCAAAGTGTCCGAAACCATGCGCTCGTCAGGACTATGCTTCGAGGTTGCCACCTGCTGCTCACCTCTCTGTGGCAGAGCTCATGGGCACTAGTCTTGTGGGGGAGCTCTGGCTATCGCTATTTTCCAACTGCAAGAATTCCCACAGGTTACCTAGCATCTTGGCCAGTTGGCTGGCGAGATTTTGCCAAAGCAGGTTTTGATGTAGATTGACTCACGCCAAAGCAGCCTGAGATCCGGACGGAGCCAAGGTCAGAAAGCTCTTTCATGGGCGTGGCCCACAGACTTGCAGAGTTCGGAGCTTCACTGGCTTGTCAGACAGTCGTGGACAGTCTATTTCTAAGTGTACGATTGTGTAAACTTGAACTTCAAGATCTTCCAGACTCGGAGCTAAACTCCACACTTTCCACACTGGCGGTTGCAAAACAAGCCACAGACCACCAAACAAACAAACATATATTGAAATTCTCTATAATCAAATACTCTACAGAAGGGGTGAAGGTGAGGTGACGATCATGGTACCTCCAAGGATTCACTGAGGGAGGAGTCACGCAATTTAAGCACCCGTTTGGTGCTAATTACTGTATATGATTTGGTGTCAACTAGGTCAGAGCTGCCTCAGAAGCCACTTCTGGAATGTCTCAGGCGTGGGGAGGAGGGTGGAGTTGTCTTCCACCATGTTCCACCCTAGTGAGCAGATCTTCTCAATAGTCAAGAAGAATTCAAAGAGGAGTACTGTAGCTTTCATGATAGCTTTCGTTTCATCTCCTAACAACTATTGCTTCGGATCGTTTGGAGTGCACAAGTATTTTCGGAGGGGGAAAGGGACATTCATGGAGCCTTAGGCATGACACACAGCAACATGGCAGTAATGATCTCATGGTCTCACGCGACTCTTGGTGAATCAGTGCCTTTTTGGCCCAAAATGAGCAGATTTTTGCGAGGCGGTTGTTGGATGGCAACTGATGTTATGCTCAAACACAGAGTTGATGGAAGCGATCAATCATTCAGGCAGATTGTTTCAACGTTTTATCGAATTGACAAAGAATCACGATCAGTTGCCATCCTTCTAGTCGGGTTGGCCACATGGTGTTCTTTTCACAGCATGACAGTTGACACCTGCAACACAACAGGTCTCCCACAATTGTTTTGTACTTGGGTTCAAAGGCCAACCTGCTAGCCGCTCCGCTAGTTAGTTCGCCCAGCCACAGCTCGAAGACCCTCAGCTTGAAATGGGTTTGGACACGAGGGAAGGTCCTCTTGTAGTCAGAAGTTAGCTTTCCTGGCTGAAACTTCAGCATTGGCATTTGAAGCCTTCAACCTATAATTCCATGTGACCAATCATTTTGCCGGCATGCTGCTCCGATGTCTGACAGACAGGCCATGAATATCACTCGTACTTCCGAAGCACGAGAACCAAAGGCGGGAAAGGACATGAAAGGACTACTTCTCGCTTTACCCCTGCCGAGATAGTCAAGCGATGTTTAGAATCAGCCGACACAAGGTCAGGATGTTTTTCTTTGGCACCAGTTGCTTCAGCATGTGAGCTGGTGAAGAGCGACTTGGACAGGATGATATTACAGATGCGGAACGCAAAGAGTGGTACTCCAGTATCTTGGCGTCAGCACCCCATGCCACGTCATTGCATGACCTCTATGACCCCGACGGGCACATGTGGCAACAGGATTGGTTCCGGATGGCTCTTAAGAACCCAGAAGAAGGGGTCTTGAAAGTTCTTTCGATCCATAGTTACTAGTAGCATCTTGCTACTAGTAGTAATGCGCTTGTTACTAGTAGAGATGCACTTGTTACTAGTAGCTTCTTGCTTCTGGCGTCTTGAAGGTTCATTCCATCCATACGGCTTGGCGATGACCCAAGGACTCTCGTGGGAGAAGGAGCTAGATCCGCAGCCGGGGCCCAAGGCAATGCAGAAAGGACATGTCATTGAGAAGCAGCTTGCTTCAAGGTATCGTATACAGATGTATACAGTACATATTTATATGTATACCGTATACATACATTTAGTTTATATATATATATATATACAGTACACTAGTACAATTATGTATATACACATGTCCAGCTCTCTCATACTCGGTTGTGGCAGCAGTATGTATCGGATTTTGCTGCAATGTCACCGTGCATTCTTGTACATTTTTGTACCGTAGTTGAGGGCCTAACTGTATAATACCTGGTACTGTAGGAAGAAGTTGAGTGCAAAGCCAACGCTGCAAGCCTAAGAAGACCTGATACCAAGGAAAGAATGTCGACTTCGACGAGAGGGGCTCCTTACCCTGCACCTCCCGTATCCATGTGCAACTGATGTGACTGAAGGATTGGCTGAAGTTGTGACTACAGAGACCCTCCAAGCCACATTCCTGGATTGTTTTTGAGATGAACGCATCATAAAGCATCCTGCAACCTGCAACTCAATCGAGAAGCCACGCCTAGGCTATTTTGGACAGATCCAGCACTTGATGCTCTCGATGTGAACGATAAAAAGTGGGAGGTGGTACAAATGGGCTCCTTGGCAAGTTTTCAGTGTTCTTGCTTGTTTGTTTGCCATCGCTCACTAGAGGCTCACTATAGGATTAATAATGATGAGAAGGAGGAGGATAAATTCTGCAAAGCATGCGTTGTCTGCACCACACTGGCTCATCATAGAGTTTTGCTACAGCAAGCCTTTTCCCCGCCGCTACCCTTCTTTCTTGCAATCAATAAATCGTTCGTTGGACACAACTTATCCGCCAGGCTTGGAATTTGTGGTAACCTTTTAACATGTTCAGTATTCATGTTGCAATATAGTCGTCTATAAACTCGGGGGATGTGTTCCACAATCAGGGGGGTTTTAATAGATATTGTTTTTACAAAAAAATCAAAAGGAACCATCACAACAATAGATATCTAATAAGTAATACATTGTTGGAAAGGCAAGCGGCAAGCGGTTTCTTCCGGGGTTAACTGGTAGAAGCGGTCTTTTCAACATGGTAATTGAATCTATAGAGAAGTGACCTGCCTAAACAGAGCTGAATCCTGAGCTTCATAAGCAAACATTCCATAGAAGACAGGGTGGTCACAGAGGAAGTTGAATCTATTTTGTGTATGCTGTGGCGTCCCCGTAACTAAAGGTGAACCCCCTTAATTCGATGTCGCTCCGCAGCTCCGGCTCAACTTATGTGGGGGCACACACCGCATTGTCGGTGTGGTGTGTGTTCCACACTGCGGCGAGTCTGCCACCACATAGCAGACTTCTCGCCGAAGCCGGGGTACATCCCATTTGCAGCTGACCGGCTTCGAGTTCTTGCTGGTGAGCTGTGTGACTGGGGCGACAGCTACTTCGCATCGGGTGGGGCACACCCCGGTGCGGTGGCACCTCCTCAGGCGGGGCCTGGAAGGGAGGAAGACAAGAGCAGAAAGGATCCGGCAGATCCGACAACAGAGAGGAGAGAGCAGGCATCTGGAGGCATCGCAAGTGGCAAAGGAGTGGAGACCAAGGAAAGCAAAGGGACCCGTCGTGAACGTGACAGTGGAGCTGATCGTGAAAAGACAGAGAAGGAGACAGTCGACGTCAAAGAGGAACCCAGCGAGGACAGTGCATTCAACTCTGAGGAAAAGAACCTACGTACAACAGCCTCCAAAAGCTTTGCAAGGCCTGCTCCTTTAGGAAAGCGGGTTGAGAAAGGAAGAGAAGCTTCAGCCCAGGAGATCAGTGAAGAGGAGGTTGCAACCGAGCCCGAGACAGAGGAGGTGTCAGTCAGAGACAAGAAGAGGTCAAGGAGAACAAGATCTCGATCCAGAAGGAGGAGACGAAAGGAAGACAGTGACAGAGGTCGGGTTGAGAGAAGCCCGGAGCCCTATCAAGAGGAGGTCGAACGAGCACGAGACGGCCACTCCTCCTCTGCTCACCCAGAAGCCCATCCAAGGCCTACACGAAGGCCTAGCACGTCTTTGCCAAGGAGGCCAAGAAGCCCCAACTATCCACCTCCTGCCAAGGGAAAAGGTCGAGGTCGCGGGTGGCACGGTTATCCGCCTCGACAAGAGTGGACAAACAAGGGGGTGAAGAAGGTGGGGAGACAATTGGAATTCAAGGAGTACCTCGCCTACAAAAAGTACCGCTGAGAAGGGCTGAATGGCCCCAAAGAGAAGACCTGCTGCCGCTGGTGAAGCTAGAGAGAACAGGAGGAGAGTTCGTGTCAGGCCAGCCGCAGTCGTTCCTCCCGCTCCTGCAAGAGAGGAACTTGCATTGGGAGCATGGGTGGAGTCAGGGAGTTTAGCAGTCACAGACCTCACTCCAGGCAAGAAGTTTCAGATCGAGGCTCTCTACTGGGACAAGTCCGTCGAGGCAGCAGCAGAGCTCGTGGGTGTGGCCATCAAAGCAGGCCAAATGGAGGTCAGCTTTCGCGTGAGTGGCACCTCCGACGAGCAGCTTCTGAAGTGGCTCACCGCCGAGGAGGACCGGGTTCTCCGAGGTCACCTCTGCCCCGCAGGTTGCAGCAACAGTCCACAAAGCGAGGACCTGATCCACGTGAAGCGTCTTCGGTTGTTGGAGATCGACACTCCTGCATGGGCACAGAACCTCAAGGAGGCAGCCGAAGCAGAGGTGTTGAGGAAGCTGGCCGCCGAGTCCGACAGACGAGCCCGGGAAGCCAAAGGAAAAGGAGTAGGAGCTCCTGCGGGGGAGGCCGCAAAGGGAGCAGCTACAAGCGAGAGTTCATGCACCTCAGCTTGTGGACCTCGAGGAGAGTCGATCTGCAAACAGGGAGTTGAGGGAGGAGCTGAAGAACAAGCAAGCAAGCCAACGCATTTGGCCGAGTGCAAAAGGCGACAGCAAGAGCAGCGGCAAGATGAAGGCGGAGGAATCCAAGGGCAAAGGCAAGAAGGACAAGGGGGGCAAAGACAAGAAGGATCGAGAAAGGGAGAAAGAGAAGTGAGATCTCCTCTCGAAAGGTTCACAGGGCAGTTCATTGAGAATGAGTTGAAGCGCATTGCACACGAGGTTCATGATGGGTTGCAGCACGATGCCACAGAGATGCCAGATGCAAGCCCGGGTGAGATGCAGTATGATCACCCGGAAGCGGCCATTTTGGTCGGTACAGAGCGCGAAGGGAGTGCCGTTTGTGGGCGCAGTTTACATACCGAGCTCGTTGAGCCAGAAAAGAAGGGTTTGAGCGGCTTGGGATTCGAAGACGTCGTCGGGGGGCTGGTGGGGGAGCTGTCGAGTTTTCTTCGCAAGACCACGACCCCGGGTGAGGTGTTCCCTCTACCTGTCGACACCGCCCTGAACCAGCCTTTCCTTTCCCACTTATCGAAGGGTGTTCGAAGTGTTCTTCGTGGAGTGGTGTTGGGACTGAATGACGTGTATGACAGCCAGCCGCAACCATGTGAAACAGTTTCACCTTTGCATGTACGTATACTTCTTTTACTGAGTGAGGAGGTGGTTAGGTTCCTTGAGAAGTTGCCCAAGTTTGGGGATCTAAGCTGGAGGGAGTTCCTAAAGGTGCGGACCATCGATTACAAGGGAGAAGAGGTCAGGACAGCTCAACAGACATCATGGGAGAACATCTCTCCTGCCCTCCCGGATGAGGTAGGCACAGTGGAGTTGGAAGATGTCGTAGGAGCTGGATGTCTTCACTATGTCCGCAACT